CGAGTGTGCGACCCAGCTCCCAGGGGAGGCAGAGCGTGGCGGGGAGGGGGTTGCTGCAGTACAGGTCCCAGAGCCGAGTCAGCTGCCGTCCCTTTTGGTGTGTCTTATGCTTGGATTTTGTCAGTTCCCGTGGGTCGCACTCCCGCTGTGATTTGGCCTGGCCTGAGCCTGTCGGAGGTGGCACCCGTGGTAGGACAGGCACCAGTTACTCTTTAAATACGCTACTGGATCTTTGCCCGATCCAGCTCCTGCCACTGAAATTAGGTGGTCACCACTGAATTCCTGGGGCCGCCGGCGTGCGTGGGTGCCTGATCTTTGTAAGCCTTTCCAGGAAGGCGAGAGCCTGGCATAGAACAGCGAAATTGTGTCATTTTCCTTGGAGGGGAAGATATTCTTCAAGAACTGTAATGCGATGTAGCTTGAACGGACAAAGATTGGACCCTCACGGTACGCTGTCTGTGCTACAGCCAGTCTGGCTGCTGGGGTCAGCAGTGCAGCTCTGCTAGCTCGTGTGGCACCACCTTGTGTCCATGGCCTAGAACATAAAACCATACGTTCTGTTCCTGGTTTTGCTGTTGCATGCCTGACTATGCTACTAAACCAGTTCTGAGTTGGACTTCGGTTCTAAACTGTTGCTGTGTTCCTGGGAGAGCAGCGAAGTGTCACAAAGTAGTGTGGTCTCTCCTGAGCATGGTGAACGTAAATCCTGTGTAAGTTTGTATATGTAAAAAACCCCAAGTCTTTTTTCCTGTCCTCCTAATGGATGCATTGAAATATCCTTGTAGTGTTGTCCGGTAATCAATATACACATTGTGACCACCGGTTTTCTGCTAATGTAGAAATATTTTTGACTTCTTAAGCAGAAAGTAATTTTATTCCTTTCTTTTCTCTGATTAGATCAAGGGCAGAGATAGAACATGAGGCACTTATTGATGGAAATCTTGCAACGGAGGCGAATCTGATTATTTTGGATACACTAGAGATAGTTGTACAGGTAAGGATGATAAGAAAACAGAGGTGTAACAGCATTACGATCACCTGGCCAGGCAGCAGTGTGTTAAACAAAACCTTCCTGCTGCTCTGAACGGCCTGTGTGCTGTCAGAACCGTTCAGCTCCCCTTCTGCAGCAGGAAGGGTGGTAACGCCTCTCCTAATCCTCAGCCTCTAACAATTTGGTTTTATATTGCAATAGCTTAGAATCATAGAATGGTTTGGGTTGGAAGGGACCTTGAAGATCATCTGGTTCCAACCCCCCTGCCGTGAGCAGGGACATCTCCCACCAGACCAGGGTGCTCAGAGCTTCATCCAACCTGGCCTTGAGCACTGCCAGGGAGGGGGCAGCCACAGCTTCTCTGGGCAGCCTGGGCCAGGGCCTCACCACCCTCCTGGGGAAGAATTTCTTCCTAATATCTCATCTAAATCTGCCCTCTGTTAGTTTACAGCCATTCCCCCTTGTCCTGTTGCTACACACCCTTGTGAAAAGCCCCTCTCCATCCTTCCTGTAGGCCCCTTCAGGTACTGGAAGGCTGCTCTAAGGTCTATAACCTGCTATAAGCTTCCTTTGGTCTTTTTTAAAGCTATTCCCTTTTTGTAGTATACGAAGCAGTTGTTCAAAATCTCAGTGATGAACTGTAAGAACTTCCAAGTCCTGCCCTGTTCCAACCTATTCCTCTAGTTCTTCCCAGATCTGCCTCAAGTCATTAGGTTCCAGGTCAGCCCTGGTATCTGCACTGGCTTTGCGTGGTGCAGGAAAGCCTCCAGGCTCCGTGGTCTGTGTGCACAGCCCAGCTGTTTCCTCGCTGCCCGCAGGTGAGCGAGGACACGTGGCAGTTTTGTCCACTGCTTTCTGTACAAATGCAGCCTCGGGCACGGGCTGGAAGCAGGCAGTGCCAGGCTTCCCAGATCCACCTCTGAGCTGCAGAGACACCCAGGAATCCCAAGGGTCACACCTTGCACCTGGATATTCCATCCAGAGGCCACCTACAGAGTTTCCCTCTAGTAGAACAAGGTCCCCAAAGGTCAGAGCCTCATCGGGTAGAAAGCATCATCGTTCCACCAGCTTTAGCGCATGGATCAGGTTTTCATTACCTGGGGGTTGATTTAGTAATGGACTGTTTTGCAGGCCCAGCTAAATGGGTAATTTTTCCATGCTGGAGGGCTTTACAGCAGAGTTATTCTCTCTCTCTCTCACACACACACACACAAACACGTGCACGAGGTTAATTTTTGCTCATGCTACTCTTGGTTTACTTTTGACTGCAGACTGTTTCTGTGACGGAGTCCAAAGAGAGTATCCTCGGCGGGGTGCTGAAAGTGCTTCTGCACAGCATGGCCTGCAACCAAAGTGCACTTTATCTTCAACACTGCTTCGCCACACAGAGGGCTTTGGTTTCAAAGGTGAATTCTCTGCGGATGCTATGATATATCCGGAGCAGCGCTGATGGAGGGTGGGACTGTTTTATTCCTTTGCACTGGGGTCACTTCACCGAGCATTTATTTTGTGCAATACTTTTTATTTTGTGTGGTCTGGGGGTTGGTAAATCCTGGCTGGTTTTCATGATCAGTACCTGTATTTATGCATTTTGGGTTTGATGGCTGCACGGTTTGCACAGCCCGGGTGCAGTGTGGGTTCCTGCTGGATGATGGTGAGCGGGCAGAGCCACCGAGTCAGTAGGGAGCACGAAGCACAGCTGGGATTTAAGCTGTATGAATCTCACTTTAAATGGATTTGTTTCACTGGGCCCGTATTGAAACAGTTTCCCAGTTTCTGTAGGTGTGCTGCAAAAAGCTCAAAGTTTTAAGCCCGAGTTTTTGGAACTGATGTCAGCCTTAGAGTGTAAGTGTAGAAGTGAGTTGTGGGGGTAGGTAAAATGAGTTGCCTTCCAGTGCTGCCAGTGCTGCTTTTGCCTGACTGTAAAAGTGAGGTGATCCAAATTAGCATCATTCCCCTCAAAACAGAGGGAGTTGGACTTCCTCTAATGCTAGTGTGTGTTCATTGCTGAGGGTTGCCACCGCCTTTTTGTCCAAGTGCTTGCTCCTGTCTGCCCAAGCACTGAGTTTCTCATGTGCTGTTTTTCCAGTTCCCTGAGCTGCTGTTCGAAGAAGAGACCGAGCAGTGTGCAGATCTGTGCCTGAGGCTCCTGCGACACTGCAGCAGCAGTATCAGCACGATACGGTCGCATGCGAGTGCCTCTCTTTACCTTCTGATGAGGCAAAACTTTGAGATTGGGAACGTGAGTATCCTGCTGCCCTTCACTGGGTTATTACGTGTGAACCGGTTGGGGACCGCTGGATGGAGCTCCGAGCATTCCTGTGGGAGGAAGGCTGTTGGGGGCTCACCGTCGGAACAAGCGTGACGTGCAAAGGGTTTTGGACCTGGGTGTCCTGGTGGACAACAGGTTGACCATGAGCCAGCAGTGTGCCCTGGCTGCCAAGAAAGCTAACGGGATCCTAGGATGCATTAGGAGGAGTGTGGGCAGCAGGTCGAGGGAGGTTCTCCTTCCCCTCTACACTGCCCTAGTGAGGCCCCATCTGCAGTGCTGTGTCCACTTCTGGGTTCCCCAGTTCGAGAAAGATGAGGAGCTACTGGAGAGAGTCCAGCGGAGGGCTGCGAGGATGAGGAGGGGACTGGAGCACCTCTCCTACGAGGAGAGGCTGAGGGAGCTGGGCTTCTTCAGCCTGGAGAAGAGAAGGCTGAGAGGGGACCTTAGAAATCAAGACCCACCTGGACAAGGTCCTGTGCAGCCGGCTCTGGGTGACCCTGCTTGGGCAGGGGGTTGGGCTGGGTGACCCACAGAGGTCGCTTCCAACCCTGACCATTCTGTGATTCTGTGAAAGGGAAGAGGGGCACGCAGCGGTGACATGACTTTGCCTAGCTCCTGATCTCGCAGTACCTCACGCTGCTGGTCGGTGCACGGCAGGAGTGTCCGGTCTCCGGTGTCAGAGTCCGAGCTGTATGCCCAGAATCTCTTTGCGGGCAAGCTGCCTTTTGTGTCAGTTAATAGAGAGATGCAGAGCCCTGCCTGGAACATCCCCTGCACGAGGTGCCAGACCTGTCACTTTGGAAGGTTTGCATTCTCTGCAGATTGGACAGCTTGCGCTCGAGGGGCTGTTTGGAGGAACTCCCCTCTGCCTTGCTTTCGCCCACCTCTAGTTGAGAGCAGAAGCAGCCACGCAGCCCTTTCTGTGGCACAGCTGGTACGTGTGTCCTTTCTGAAAGGGCTCCGTTCGTGGAGGTGAGTTAGCAATGCTGGCGTTTTGTTTCCATTCAGAGGTTACCTCCAGTTACATCTTAGCTTGGTGCACCCATGTGCACTTGAAATTGTCAAGAAAATTCCCAGCCTTAACTCCTCCAGCTGGTATTTTGCAGGCATGCACGTAGCAGTGTGTCACAAAGTGCTCCTCTGGACATTGTTGTTTATGCTGCTTTGGTTACAGTCCCCCACAGTGAGTGGTGGAACCAGAGGGACCTGCTGGTTTCAGCAACAAGACAAGGGGCAATGGGCATAAACTGAAGCACAGGAAGTTCCGTCTGAACGTGAGGAAGAACTTCTTCCCTCTGAGGGTGATGGAGCCCTGGCCCAGGCTGCCCAGGGAGATTGTGGAGTCTCCTTCTCTGGAGATATTCCAGACCCGCCTGGACAAGGTCCTCTACAGCCTACTGTAGGTGACCCTGCTTCAGCA